CACTGACTGTAGTGTCTTTAGGCCATTCCCAAAGGGGGGACATTTCTCGTTCAAGCACAGTAGAATTTTAAATGGGCTGATTCATGTCACACTCATAACTGTGCCTGATCTACAACAGGGAACTGCTGCTTTTTCTTTCCTCACCCTTACTATTGTCATTTTCCTCTACTTCTTTTGTATGTTTGTCACACTCTTGTGACCTGCTGTTTCCGGGGTGCCTTGATAGTCAAAGCAGACTTTGTGCTGTTGAAGCTAGAGAGGTGAGCAGAGTAAGTCTGATTCCCTGTAAGGACTTCTCTGTTGACACCCACCCCTTGGCGCTCATATGACCTTATGCAATTGCGAGCGCTGTAAAACCCTCTACTATAAAAAAAAAAAACCCAGCTGAAAATACAAAAAGTCAACTGTTCGTCTGTAAAATGAGAACTACGTCTGAGTGAGGGAATACAGACACGTTTATTGTCCATGAGCAATGAGGGAGATTGAGTGTCAGCTGACTCATCAAGCGTCTTCTCTGGAGCAGACATTGGAGATTTTGGCCATTTCCAGCACTTTTTGGTTTGTCTTCTTTTCTATCTGTAATATTTTCAGCACAAATATGAACTATATTTTTGTTGCTTCTCTTTTTCATCTAATATTGTTATGGATTGTGACCTTGTCCAAGCACTTGCACCCTTAAAAGAATTGACCAAATGTACTCCTTATATGTTCTGAGTTTTGTATCCTTTGTAATGTTTCGTACTTCCTGTGATGAAAATCTTTCTGGATCTACTTTTTTTTTTTTGGTCAATGTATCAAATAGAGACAATGGTTAGTTCAAGTTCACCACTGGTTATTGGTAGGTCTTACTTCTTTTCTCTCCCGCTACTCTGTGTGTGTGTGTGTGTGTGTGTGTGTGTGTGTGTGTGTGTGTGTGTGTGCGCGCGCCTTTCTTTTCCCCTGCACAAAAGTAGCTAACTTGTGGATGTGCTACAGTAGATGACTATCATTGTGTGGATGTGCTACAGTAGTTGACCTTCACTTTTCCTAGAACAAATTGAGATAGGGTTAAACTTCAACGTTTCTTTATCTCTGTTTCAGTACCTGGCGTTCCCGTGTGGCATGATTCGAGGGGCTTTGTCTAACCTAGGGGTGAACTGCATCGTCACGGCAGAAGTCAGTGCCATGCCAGCCTGTGAGTGGACGGTTTTGTTGTGTGTTGTATGCCTACATGTTTTGTGCCCTCTTTGACCAAGTTTAGATCATTTAGTTGTTTTGGGAAATGGGCTGCTTGAACCATGCCTCTGTTTGGGCCAGTCTGGATTCTTTCTGAAATGATGTGGAAAAAAACTGTTGCAGGAAAAGAACGCTGGTTGGAACAAATGTGTGCTTTCACTGCGGTACAGGATGGGCACAGTATTATCTCTCTCTCTGCCATTGTGACTATCACTATCAGTTTGCAGTCATTAAATATTTGGTCAAATTTTAAAAAAATAAATCAACTGCTGCAGTGAATTAAAAATACAGTATAATGGTAGATTGCTAAAAGAATTCTCAATGTGTCTGCTCTATCAGGATTGCTTCATATGGGGAGCTATTGTGCTTTTATTTTAAAATTCTTGCAAATTTCAACTCTGTTGCATTCCCTGATTTTTTCGTTATGAATAGAAAATTTGCCAGTAGATCAATTTTGTTCTCATGAAAACTAAGAAGAGATGCTGACCCATGTAGATCAAGCGTAACAAGCTGCATGCAGGCTTTGGCAAATTTACCTCAAGATCTCGATCTATCGGCTCCTTCTGTGCTTTAGTTGACA